ACGTGTACTATGTCTGCTACATGAAGCTGACCATTTCACAAACCAATGTAGGCTTTTCCTGCCTTTGTATGATATCTGCAGTTTTATTTGCAATACCTCAGAGCTGTTAGTTTGTTTGGTAACTAGATGTAAGTCTTTGCAGAGGTTGAAGTCCAATCTGCTTGCACTTTTCCACAGAGACACAGCTGTCACATTATAGCCCCTAGCATTAATTTTAATATAGATATAGGAAGAGTGTCAGAGTTTCCTGCAGATTTCGGCATCCACACAGGTGAGGTGGATGGGGGAATACTCCCCACTATGCTATTGCATTCTGACAGCGGGTCCCACCTCACTGTCAGAATACACTGCACAGAGCTGCAGACCTCTGATAGAAGCAGGTTTTCCAGCAAGATCATTCAACAGAAGCAGATACAACAATTTACTTAGTTCAAACAGGGAGGACCACACACATCAAAATTTAACCTGTTAATTCAACAGGAACCAGACACATTTTGATCTGTAGGCACCTGGCTTTAGGTTAAAAAATAGTGGTCCTGCCCCTGGTGGCATCTTTTAGATGTTTGCTGGCTGTCATCTTCATCTTCTGGCTTCTCAACAAAGGTTGTGAGTTCTGACTTTTCCGGTACATGCCTGTTTCAGTTCACTGCCATTGTAGTTCAAGTGTATCTAAAGCTGTTTTGATAGTTTATGATGGACATGTAAGGGATTAGAATTGCTGTCTTGGGTTTTAGTACTGTCTGTGTCCCCTTTAGGGAAATTTTTCTTGTGTTTGTCCTGGGAATACAAGTGATGAAAATTTTTGACTAGGCCGCTAATGGAGAGGATAATATCTTCCAATGGGGACAGCTGCCTTAAGGCGAAGTTCACATTAGCTTTGTTTTTTAACGCTCCTCAAATGCCTATGAAAATTATACTTATGGCAGCACAGAGTGCTGTTCACATTGAAGCGTTAGTGTCGCGGCAAATTTGACGCCTCGGGGTTTATTTACTAAAGCCGGAGAGTCCAAAATCAGACTCCCTTCTGCCTAGAAACCAATCAGCTTCTAACCTCAGCTTGTTCAATGAAGCTTTGGCAATGAAACCTGGAAGCTGATTGGTTTCTATGCAGAAGGGAGTCTGATTTTGGACTCTCCAGCTTTAGTAAATAAACCCCCTCCAGTCAGGAGGAGTTAGAGCCTTTCAACGCCTTCCATTCAAGTCTATGGTGATGCTCCTCAAATGCCTGGCAGTCATTTAATACCATTAACGTCGTCATAGGCGTTTGTGGTGCGGTTTTAACGCTTGGAAAATGACTGAAACTCCTCAAAAACGTGCATAGGGAGTTTGTCAAACGCTATAGGGGTGTTTGGGAAGAAGTCAAGTGTGAAAAAGTCCTAAGAGGTCAATACCCTCACTTTGAGATTTTCAAATGTCATATTAAGACCCTATCACATGGGCTCTTAGAATGGGTCCACCTGCTGGTTAATCAGATCGGAAAGCTCCATTGCTAGGCGCATTTAAATAGGTCTTTGTCCATTTATATCCATTTACCTTGAGTCCTTTTACATTTGTCTGAACCTAAATATGATGGATCAGAGTGGTAGTATGATGTAAACAGATGTAGGTTTACATGTGTCCACACCTATAGCCATTATGGGACAAAAGGGAGACTTCCAGTCAAAATGCCACTAAGGCTCTGTTCACACCAATGCGTTTAGTGCTTTTTTGCAGGAACACGCTACAGTCCATTTATTATGGTTTTCTATGGAACATGTTCACATCTATGCTTTTTTGAGCTGCTGGGTTTTTGGAAAGGGTAAGGGATTTTTTTTTAAAGCAAAAAGCAGCATTTTTGCTACAATAGAGTTCAATGGAGAAGCTGTTGAAATGCATGGTAGTGCGTTTTTTGCATTTTTATTCTGCCCAGCAACAAAAATAATTTCACTTTAACAAAAATAAAAAATAGCTGAACAAAATGTGTTAAGAATACGTCCAAAACACGTGTAGAAAACCCCAAAAACAAATTGCACTGAAGAGAGCATCAATCGCAAAACGCATACATCAGAACCAAGCCTAAGGCTGAACAGATACAGATGTTACAAAGCTGACATTTGTCCTGTTCACCTTCTATTCAGCAGGGGATCTGTTCCCAGGCCCCTGATGAACAGAACTGGCAAAGCCTGTATGAAAGGTCCCGATTTTCAGGACAGGAAGTTAAGAAAAGTCTCCAAAATGTGACACAGCTGGTAAAATCTGGTGGGCCGTAACCATGCACTGCACTCTCCAAAATGGGATTACAAGGTTTTGACTGTAGATATGACTGCTAGGCAAAAATCAAGGTCTAAAAGACACCACAGTTCAACCTGGGTTTAGGTGTTCTTACACTGCCTGGTCTTTGCAAACGATGAACCTGGTCCAGGCCTTGTGGCGTTTCCACATGGGCAGATGAGTGTTCCTGGCAGATAGACAGGTGCTTATCACATGCAAATTATCCTAATGCTTCTTTGTGCAAAGGGCTGTTCTGTTTGGGGGAAAAAAAAGGGATCAAGTAGTTTACTTTTGCTGCATCCCTACTCGGCATTTATGAAAACATTGTGGCAGGGCCCAGTGATCCAATACTGGTAATGCCTGTCGATAGGTTGCATTGGCCTGTAGTTCTACTTAAAGATGGGCTGTAATCTTGTATAGCAGTCGCGTTTTGTGTGTTTTCAGACTTACGTCATTGCGTGAAGATCAGGAATTGATAAAATAGGAGATAATTCAAAGTGTATTATTAAACACATGGCCCAATAATTTAAGCTGAGGCTAAACAAATCATAGGATGCAATGTGGCCAGTGCTTCCTCAAAATTATAGTTGGTGCCCAAATTTGAGGTTTTCTTAAGTTGTCAAGAAAGTTTTACTTTTAGGAAAAAAAATGCTGCTGGCTGCCAGACAGAATGGCTTCTGAATTCCATATTTGTCCACATCTGTTTCTTTTACTAGAAGGGTTTGATGAATCTAATAAAACTGATGATGGTACCTCCCTAAATGTATTTGGTTTGTTGCATGCAATTTCTAAATTGAGCTGAATGAAGGTCACCGGAGATATTGATGACATCTTAGGCTCAGATTGCAATACTGTGATGCAACGTTTATAAGATTTACAGTGTGATTTTTGTGGTGGGACTTTTATGCTTTTTTGCATATTGTATGGGGCCAAGTCGCACTGTAAATCGTACCAAAGTAGTGCAGAAACCTTTTCTGAAAATCTCAACATTCTGAGTCGCATTGATTGATTAGAACAGGCACCATTAAAAACAATGCGATATCCCTTGTCATGCGATTCTCTGTAACTCCACTTGCATCAGAAGTCACAGTAGTGTGAACCAGGTCTTATTCTGACTCTTCATTGAAGGAAGTTGTTGCTTCTGGTGGGGCTATCTCCCCACGGAAGTCCTCAGGAAATATAAGAAGTTAGAAGTTAGAAAGTTGCTGCTTTTGTTGGGGCTCTCTCACCACTGAAGTCCTCAGGAAATAAAAGAAGTTAGGAAGTTGCTGCTTTTGGTGGGGCTCTCTCACCACTGAAGTCCTCAGGAAATATAAGAAGTTAGGAAGTTGCTGCTTTTGGTGGGGCTCTCTCACCACTGAAGTCCTCAGGAAATAGAAGAAGTTAGGAAGTTGTTGCTTCTGGTGGGGCTATCTCACCACTGAATTCCTCAGGAAATATAAGAAGTTAGGAAGTTGCTGCTTTTGGGGCTCTCTCATCACTGAATTCCTCAGGAAATAGAAGACGTTAGGAAGTTGTTGCTTCTGGTGGGGCTCTCTCACCATTGAAGTCCTCAGGAAATATAAGAAGTTAGGAAGTTGCTGCTTCTGGTGGGGCTCTCTCACCACTGAAGTCCTCAGGAAATATAAGAAGTTAGGAAGTTGCTGCTTCTGGTGGGGCTATCTCACCACTGAAGTCCTCAGGAAATGTAAGAAGTTAGGAAGTTGCTGCTTCTGGTGGGGCTATCTCCCCACCGAAGTCTTCAGGAAATATAAGAAGTTAGTATTTAGTGACAGTAAGCATATAAGACCTTTTTCGGTGGGTTTTTCCTTCAGATAGAAATGTCTTAAAGTAGAATACAAACCAAAACATTTTTCTAGTTTTGGATGGATTGTGGAAAAGTTAACCTCTCAGATTTTTATTCCTACCAACGTCGCCTTTTCGGTAGATCCACCTTCACTCTGTCTTGTCACCTGGACAAAAAGTGATGGACAATCCAAAATTTTATGGCTTTAACATTTGTAGGCAGAAAACCTCCCAATGGGGATATCTTTTGATGGAAAAGTGAAATTCTTTTTAAAAACTTTTACGTTTTTTGGCCATGAATTTATAAAAGAGCTGTTCTCATGACCTACACCCATGAATAGTAACTTCCCTTTCGCTCTCCCATGCTGGATTTAAGAGAATGAAAAGGATAATCTATTTACTCTTGTCAAGATCAGCTCTTGCTTTCAACACCTTGATACAGAATCTTTAGCATAGATTTCTTACATGATCTGATGTTCTAGACCAAAGCATTTCCAAGACGTGTTTGCTGTGAGAATTCTGTATGATCTTGGCTGTGTGTTTTCGGAGAGCGCACCCGTGTGTCTATTGTGAAGGTCACTCAGCCAGATTAACGAGAGCGGACTAGTGTTGCTTAGATCCCCGAGTGTCACATTGACTTTTATCTACCTGTGTGCACGCAATCCTTGCTCTAGCATCACACCATAACGAAAACTAGATAGTTAGAACTCCTTTTTGTTGTCAGAATTCACTCCTCACCCCAGCAATAAAATGAGCAGCTGCTGTAGAGTCATTGACTGGAGCTAAGCTGAAACGTTGCACCTGTTGGATCTCTGCTGCACGCCTGTCCCTGTCACCAGCTGTCACACACAGGAAGTTACCTTCGGCTGTGGATCCACTTTAGTCAAAACGTCTGAATGTAACTCCACTCTGGAATGCGACAGACTCTTGAGGCTAAATGCCTTTTCCCATTTCTTGTTTTACAGATAGCTGCTAAAATTGATGGAATCCCGCACTTGAATAATGCAGGATCTCTTGTGGACCCAACAGTGTACGGTTATGGCATCCCAAAAAGACCGCTTGATGATGGAGGTAACGTGCTCTGTTTTCTAAATTCTCGTTTTATTTTTATTTTTTTAATCCTTTGTGGGTTTTGTCAGAATATTTTCCAGCTTTGTGTTTTTTACCCAATTTGTATTTTGTATTGTATGTTCTTAATGGAGCTGTTCTGCAATGGGAATTTCTGTCTTTGATGGATGCTGTGGAGCTGGCTCCCGTACTACCTGCTTATTTCTTGTGAGAGGTTAACACCAGTCCTTTGATGTGGCGGGTGCATCCATTTTCTTTTCAGGTTAAGTACATTTTAGCAAGGGAAGAAAAGTATCTATTGAAGCTGCAAGAAGTCCAGTATGCTTATTACTTCATATGTACTAAACTGAAATCAAGCCTTATCAGCTCTTGGCAATTGTCTTTTGTAGACTACTGAACACCCCCTTTATATGAAGTTGAGGAGAGGGACTTGGGTGACACCACTTCTTTTAAACACAGTACTGTGAGTGTAGTCGGCTTAGGACAGGAAGTGTGGTACTGGCAGTATCCTCAAGGGGAAAAAAAAGGGGTAACAAATAAAACGAATGGAACCACCTTATCTAAGGGCAGGTAAGCTACTTATCCACTTGAGGATTTACCCCCCTTCCTGAGCAGGCCACTTTTTGTATAACGGTGCTGCGTTACTTTAACTGACAATTGCGCGGTCATGCAATACTGCACCCAAATGAAATTTATGCCCTTTTTTCCCCACGAATAGAGCTTTATTTTGGTGGTATGTGATCGCATTTTTTTTTTTTTTTTTTTTTTTGCGCTATTAACCACTTGACCTCCAGAGGATTTACCCCCCGTAATGACCAGGCCTCTTTTTGCTACTCGGCGCTGCACTAATTCAACTGATAATTGCGCGGTCATGCAATGCTGCACTCAAACGAAATTTAGGTCCTTTTCACACAAATAGAGCTTTATTTCGGTGTAATTTGATCATCTGTGCGCTTTTTATTTTTTACGCTATAAACAAAAAATGGCCAAAAATTTTGAAGAAAAACAATATTTTTTACTTTCAGCTATAAAAAATATATAGTAAACTCAAAGTTGGTTATAAATTTAGGCCAAAATGTATTCTGCTACATGTCTTTGCTAAAAAAAAAAAAAAATATTAATCCCAATACGTGTAAATTTAATTGGTTTACATGAAAGTTATAGTGTTTTCAAATGGCGGTATATATTCTGGGCTTTTTTTTTTTTCACTAGTAATGGTGGCGATCAGCGACTTATAGCGGGACTGCGGTGGGCATTCTGACACTGGGGGGGAACTGGCTTGGTGTCACTGACATCCCCAGTGAAACCAATACAGTGATCAGTGCTAATAAAAAGCGCTGACACTGTACTAATGGCACTGGACATGCAGGGGGTTAACATGGGGCAATCCTCAGCCCGGGGCGATCCCCCATCAGAGATCCTCAGCAGTCACCGGCAAGTAATCACCGGCTGGGACCCGGTGATCGACAGCTGAAAATGGTGGTGCAGGTAGGGTGTGTGCGCGCCCCCCTACCGGACATTTATTTATTTCAGGTACTTATATAGCGCTGTCAATTTACGCAGCGCTTTACACATATATATTGAACATTCACATCAGTCCCTAACCCTCAAGGGGTGTACAATCTAAGGTTCCTAACTCACAGTCATACATACACATACTAGGGACAATTTAGACAGGATCCAATTAACCTACCAGCTTGTCTTTGGGGTGTGGGAGGAAACCGGAGCACCCGGAGAAAACCCACACAAGCATAGGGAGAACATGCAAACTCCACGCAGGAGGCTCCATGGTCTGGAATCGAACCCATGACCCGTTTACTGCAAGGCAGATGTGCTAACCACTAAGCCACTGTGCCGCCCATGTAAAATCATGTGTATATATACGTGATTTTGCACACAGCCTGTAGCGGTATTTTTGCTATGGTGCGGGGCTAAAGCAGTTATTACATTTTTGTTTTGTTTTTCAGATTCAGTTGAACCATGTGACAGTTCCTTATAACACTCAGGGACTCTATTTGGTGACATGTCTTGGGTCTTCATATCTGTTTTGACCATTATAAGGGGTTCCTACTCTTTTTAGCCCTTTTGGTCTGGTTTTGAGCTCTTTTGATTGTGTAGGCTTAGCATTGCATGTATTGTTACCTAGGGTGGTGTGCATGCAAATACATTCTGCCTAGGAACTCCTCCAGAACAACATCCACTCTTCAAGGCATTTTGTATTCGCATAACTCCACCCAAGTGCCAGCCCACTTCACCTGGGCTGAGGATTGCAGAGTACTGCGACAAGGTGTTGTGATGTTTTCAGGAAGCTACATACAGCCCCTGCCAACATTTCCAACAGCCATGATCTGCCTGCATTGCATAGAGAAGGACAGAGACCCGCTGATGTCATGGGTCTAAAATGTATTTAATGAAAACAGCTTTTATTTAAAACTTTCATTAGAATGTTGATGAGTGCAGAGGATGGAATAACATCCCACACGTGCCAGGTGTAAAGCAGTGCCACCTGCAAAACTTTGCTAGCTGAGTTAAAATTGCTGCATGCTTGAAGCAAAGCATTGTGGCTGCAGTATCTGTGTAGTCCTGTCCGGCTCTGTTAGAATTTAGGTAGGCAGTAAAACCATGCTTCAACCACTGATTTTACCACCCCCTGGCCTACTGCTTTATAAATATGTCCTTTAAATTAAAAGTTCCTCGCTAGCCCTTTACACATGGCATGGTGTTAAACAACACCCCCATTTCAGACCCTGCACCTGAGAGGATGCCTTTTAGACTCACAGCTGCTCAACAAAGCCTTTGCTTTGCATTACATCTCAAAGAATGTTGGTTACAACATGTAGGCTGTACCTGTTGCTGCAGGTCAGTTCTTTACCGGATGTCCAGCTGCCAGCATGTGCCTACTGTTCTTCATCCAGCCTGTCTGTGTATGGCTTTTCCCACCTGCATTAAACACATTTAAAAGCCTCCCAGTAGCTGCTAGCACTGTGTTTCTTACCTCCTGTGTTCATACTCTGCCAAATCCAGAAAGGGGAAAAAACCAAATCAATCATGAGACCCCCCCCCCCCCCCCAAGCTTGCCAACAACCACAAGAGTAGGCCAGTAGGACTGCAGAGGGGCATGGGAGGGTGTCTGGTGATGGGTCATTTTTCAATGGTCGAGTCAATCACTTTTTCTCAACCCAACTGAGCATGCATTTCACTTGCTGAAGGCAAAACTAAAGGCAGAAAGACCCAAAAACAAAGAACTGAAGACAGCTGCAGTTAGAGCCTGGCAAAGCACCAGAAAGGAGGAAGCCCAGTCTTTGGTAATGTCCATGGGTTCCAGACTTCAGGCAGTCATTGCCAGTAAAGGATTCTCAACAAAATATTAAAAATGAACATTTTATTTATGATTATATTCATTTGTCCAATTACATTTGAGCCCCTGAAAATGGAGGGACTGTGTATAAAAATGGTTGCAGTTCCTAAAATTTGTGTTTGATATTTATGTTCAACCCCTTCAATTAAAGCTGAAAGTCTGCACTTCAAATTCATGTGGATTGTTTCATTTTAATTTATTCTGGTGGCATAAAGAGCCAAAAGTATGGAGATTGTGCCTGTGTCCAAATATATATGGACCTAGCTGTGCGATGCCTGATTTTGCACTATAGTAGTGTGAATGGGGGCCTTTTAAGGAAAAATTTGTGCAGGAAAAAGTGTATTTTTTTTTTTTTTTTCACTGGCACCTCCAAAGCATCGCACGCACAATCCAGTGGACTAGGGGTGTAATGTTGGTCTTTTGCAGACATGTTCTGCAGCTCTCTGCTCCTGCTTCTATACAGACTTTCATTTGGAGAGCTGGAAGAAGTGTCTGTGAACTCCGAGTGTGCTGATTACTACTGTTGTTGCGGTGTCAGACAGGACTTGTAGTTTATTCATTCATAGATCTGTGTTCTGAACAGCTGCACTGGTAAAGCCTGGGGTGGTGACATCACCCATCGGCTACTAGGGCCCATCTGTTGTCGGCCCTCCCTCCTCTTCCCTGCAGCAGCAATAGTTGACAAGGGAGTCGCATCATATGACCGCACCAGAGTATCCTGAAAATAGGTCAGTATATGCATATTATGCAGGTTAACTTGCATAGGTTTTTGGAGAGAGTAGTTGAGATGAAACTGGAATTCCACGTTAAAGGCTTGTTCATATCATATCCAAGTGAGCTGGTTTGCACAGTACAGCTTGCTAGTATTGCAGCTTGACCAGGCCAAGTTTTTTAATTTTGTTTGAACCCACAAAATTTGCTCTGTAACCATACACAGCATGTTACAAATTGAACCTACCCCTATGAGGTAGGCAAGGACGCTTAGACTATTGTATAGATCTACAGAGGACTGATTCCAGTGATTTGGTCTCATGCCCACACTGCAGAAGTTATCCTTGGTGGTATGTCTGCAATGCTAAGCTTAGTTTTTAGAATTTAGCCCTACAATATCGCCCTATTCTACATTGAGGCCCAGGTTTGATATTTTTCGAGGTTGCAGTGTTTTGTTCCAATTCTATTCTTTTCTGATTAACTATTTTTTTTCTAGATCTAAAGGTTATTGGATAGTGCAGTGGTGGGCAACCTTTTTTTTCAACTGAGCCAAATCTCGCCAAAACCACGATTGAAATTTATTTTGAGAGCCACATTTTTAAAACTGAAAATACATAGGATGGTACACTGTTTTTAGTTTCAATAAGTTTTTATAGTAATTCATCCCCCATAGTAATTCATCCCCCATATAGTAATTGATCCCCCATAGTAATTGATCCCCCATAGTAATTGTTCCCCCATATAGTAATTGATCCCCCATATAGTAATTGATCCCCCATATAGTAATTGATCCCCCATATAGTAATTGATCCCCCATATAGTAATTGATCCCCCATATAGTAATTGATCCCCCATATAGTAATTGATCCCCCATATAGTAATTTATCCCCCATATAGTAATTCATCCCCCCTATAGTAATTCATCCCCCCTATA